ACCGTCTGTGTCCTTTTTATGGACAAACATGAGCACACTGTTCTGTGTTCCAGAGCACACAGACCTCACGCTCTTGCTTCAGACCAAAACTTAGACTGAATTATTAACAGCGAGCATTTCCGCAAACACAGGCGCTGACAGCTCTGCTCCTCGGCTGGGTCCCTGCCCTTCCTGAAGTCCTCCCCACAGGAATCAAGGCAACCCTGGGATCTGGAAGACCACCCGCTAGCCAGAAGCCCTGCTCGACCCCCACTCCCAGACGCTTCTGCTCCCCTCCAAGCACCTCCCTTCCCCACGGCATGGAGAAGGAGGCAACATAATTGAAAACAATTAGCAAATATAATTGGCAAATACAATTAGCCTTGAGGCAAGACAAGCAGACCCTCCTCAGCTCCAAACACCCAGCCAAGCCCCCACCCGGGGCTGTCGCTGCTGGAGCTCATGAAGGCCAGACTTCTCCCGTCCAGAAGTGCTGGTGGCGGAGAAAGTGACTGGCGGGAGACGATTCCTGGCCATTGAGGTGGAGGTGTGTCCTCCTCCACATCACCTCGGTGGGCAGGGAGGCAGTGGCTGCCAGCAGCACACATGGGGCAGCCACAGGGGCCCACCAGACAGGCCACTGGGTCAAGTTCCAGAGGAAGGAGGGGCTCACTGGGCAGCTGAGGGGGTGGGCAGCAGTAAGGGTTTTTGGAAGAGAAGGGTGGACTCCACAGGGTCAGGGGAGCTGACCACTCAAGTCTAGCCCCCAACATCATTATGGAAAAGGGGGCGTGTGCATCCAGGATACTGGAGCCAGAGGTCAAGGTCAGAAAGGCATCAAGGCCCAGAATCAGAAAGGCAAACGGCCACAGGAAGCCAGCCATCAGCCAAGAATAAACAGGACAGATCTGCAATAATCTCCTTTCAAAGTCAACACGAAAGCATCCGTGGGACCACCTCGCTCACTGGGGCCAGCCCACACAGACAGACAGACAGACAGACAGACAGACACACACACACACACACACACTGGGACCAGCCCACAAGACACATGTGTACACGCACACACACGCACCCACCCCTCAGCAGCCACAGTAGTCGGTTCTTGGTCTGTATCGCCCGCCTCCCCCCATCCATCCCCAGCCTCCTTGCTACAGACACTCACACGTGCTCACAGTCACAGAACATCACCCACACAGCTACTGTGCCTTTCTGATCTCTGGAACAACTGGTGACAGCTGCGGGTTGAAACAGGCACAAAGGAAGAAAAGCAGGAAATCACTGTGTTTCTCCAACAGGGTTAGGGGAAGAGCGGAAGGAGCTGAAGATAGGCTGGGGTGGCAGGTGGGTCATCCTACACTGCAAGGGCAACCTCCGGCAGCTCTCCCAAGCTCACAGGGACCCACACGGGGTCAGAATTTTCTCAGGAACCATGTGAGGCAGATTTAATGTGGTTGCAGAATAATAATACCCTACATGTGAACAGGACTATACTTTTCAAAGAGCTCTTCCATCCGTTATCAGCTCCTAGAGTAACACTGGACAGCAGACACGCTCATCTCCTTGGCCAAATGACCACTCACCCCCATGGGGCCCAAAGACCTTTCCTCCAAAATAATCTTTAATGGCCAAGCATATGTAATAGTTGCGTGAGCGTGCTTGTTTGTGTGTGAATGCGTGCAGAGGCTTTATGTAGCAGAGTGAGATACAGTCAAACAAAAATGAGGTTGCCATGGCAACAGGCTCCGGCATCATTGCAACCTATTAACACAAGTGAGGAATGTGTTTGGCAGATGCTCGAGTGTTATTTATGGTATGGGTGTAGCAGAGGGACTTCTAACAGGCAAAGAAGGAGAAAAAAACAACCCAGTGACGTGCCTACTGTACCCCGCCAAGGAGACAACAGTGAGACAAGAGCACAGAAGGAGAGGATGAGAGGCTGAAAATGGGGAGTAAGAGGTGAGGAAGCTGAACAAGCAAGCAACGGAGAGGAGAGGTGGGCAGAGAGCAGCAGGGGACTGGAGGGCGAGGAAGAGAAAGGAAGTGAACGAGAAAGAGCACAGAGGGAGGGGGACGGGTCCCAGGGGACCAGCAAGAACAAGACACGTAGGGAAAGCAGAAAGACCATCCCCCAAAAAGGGCTGCCCCTCCTTGCCTCTCGGTTCCATTCTCTCTTGAGTAAAAACCCTCAGGAGGCACCGGCTAAGATATCTAATGTTTCTCCTCCCAACTGGAGCAAACAGCAGAGCCCCCAAATATAAGAGGAACTAGGGAAGAATAAAAATACCGAGGTCAGATACTGAAGTCGAGGACCTGGGCCGTGAGAGGGAGGGGACCAGCCTCATAGGAGGAGATAGGAAACTGTGTTGGCATGTCTTCACGAGGGCTTACATGTGCTCGAGGCACATGGCAGGGACTTCCCAAAGCCCCAACCTCAGGGACCATGCCCTGCCACCCCATTTCCCTGGACGCGTGTCCTCACCAAAGAAAAGAACGAGGCATAACCCAAGCTGTCCTCAAACACCTGCTGCTCCGGGGTAACCTGAGGCAGAGGCTGGACTCTGCCACTAAGATTTCCCCACCATCCAGCAGGGTTCGCTCAAGAAATACAAATTTTGTATCAGACTTAATCAGAAAGGCAAATCAAATACAAACAAAAAAAGATACAGTTTTCTCTGAAGCCAAATAGAAAGAATGTTTGCATTCCCTTGGCATGGACCATTCCTAACAAGCTCTGCTGTACTGAACCGAGCAGAATGTGAGAAGTTAAGTGTAAATCCATCCAAAAGCCTGCAGCCAAGAGAATGAGCGTCTAAAGACCACAGTGGGTAACAGAAGCAAGGGGTGGGAGCGGTAGAGGTGGGGAGAGGAGGGAGCGGGATTTGCCTGAGGAACTAGAAGGGGAGTCAGTCAGACACTGTTGCTGCGATGGCCAAGATGGAGTTGGAGCACCCCAGCTTCCTGGGATCCAATTCCAATTGCCTGAAATCATACATCCAGGATTGCCTAGGGCTGTAACTAGACTCTGAGACCCAAGTCCGGTTTCGAAAATGCCCTGAATGATCCTAGAAGTATCTGCTGCACCGTGCAGATGACATGCCCTTCCCTCTGCAGAAAAGCGACACCCACCCAAGCCACCTGCCTCCCACCCAAGCCAGGATCAACCCCCAAAGATACAACACTCATGTGACAGCTTGGGTCCTCAGGTCCAAAGAGTTGGAGCCTTTATAATAATAGTAGTTAACTTTTTTTAAAACCACCACCTCTTAGTAGGTTTCTCTCTCAAGTTCAAAGCTGATCGCTAAAGATTTTTTCTTTCTGATTCCAGATCAGAAAAACTTTAGCTTAGCATCAACAACCCCACCTACTCCTCTCCTTGGAACCCAACCAAATTGGCAAGCAGTTATTAAATCCCTACTAAGTACCCTGCACTGTGCTAGACAAGGGAGAGAGGGAGGAGGAGGAAAAACACCAACACATAACTCAGGATTCCTGCATCCAAGGGGCTTCCACTGGATGGGGAGCAAAGCCAGTGATCACTGGGGAACAAGTACGCGCTCCTCTCAGTGTCTCTGACTCCATTGTTAACCATACAGAAGAGGGAGAGCCCAGTAGGGCTGGAATAGAAGGAGAGGGCTCCTTGCAGGAGGTGAGGCTTGAGACAGAGGGAGGGGGCATACGTAATCCCCCCGTTCTCTAGAAGAGGAGCCCAGGAGGCTGCAGGTCCCCTTCTTCCCAGTCATACAGCACCTTAGAGGGGCAGCTAGAACCCAGCGCCCTGAAGCTGATACAGGTGCTATGCCCTCTGGGAGAGTACCATACCCAGGAAGTCAGGGGGCACAGGAGAGCCCCTCAAGAAAGACACAGTAGTCACAGGATAAGTCTGAAGAAAGGCATTAGAAGAAGGGAGGAGGAGGAAGGCAATGACAACGGAACATGGTTAAGACATTCTATTAGAGTAGGCAGATGCCTGGAGAGGGGTGCAGCAGGGTCCACCGTCAAGACAAGCCTAAAGCAAGGGCCCACTGGACTCTCTCATGGTCAAGCTGCCTGCAAATATGCAGACTCGACAGGGGTCAATGGATGAGGGCCACGGAGCCACAGACAAGGGGACTGCTAAAGGGAGAGGGGTGCAAGTCAGAGGGCTGGTCTCACCCCATGGTCGGGATGGCAAGCACACCCCTCTCCCAGAAGCCTTCAGTGGAGTCCCCAGTTAACCAGGCAGTTTAATTTCCTCCTGAGCCCACCGTTCTAGGCTGGCCCAACCAGTCCCAGCAAAGACAAACCTGACCCCCACCCACAAGCAAGAACCAGAAGCAGCCATGTGAAGGGGTCACCACGTCCCACACCAGCTTTCTGCTCAGGCCAGGAGGGGGACTGCCACCACACATGTCTCAGAGACTCCTTCCCCTCTTTGCTGAGGGAGCTTATTGGCTTGGGGCACTTTTGTAAACGACAAACTTGTCAGTCCTCTGTCAAGTTCAGGGATATCTCCAGCTCCCAAACCCCAGCCTCAGACAACTAGCAGGGTTATCATTTCTCTTCCTTAAGACTGGGCAGGGGGTGCCCAGGGTCTCCCCTCCCCAACCCTCTATCCAGGACTCAGTTAACAAACCAGCAGTGGCTCCCAGGAGGGAGAGACTGCTACAGGGTCCAGCCACTTTTGTCAAGGGCCTTTAATATATAGGGACAGAAGCAGAGGAAGTGAAGGGGACCTCTCCATAGAATTTTCTCCTCCAATCCTCATTCCTCATTTTCATCCACACAAAAATGGCTACGGCTTAATGTGTTTTCTACGGGTCCAAGAACATTACATATAATACGAAGGCACTTTTTTTGTAAATGAAGATGTTGGGGCCCAGAGGGGGTTAAGAGGCTGGAAGATACCACACAGTTGACACAGCCATGTGTCTCTCACTCTTTATGCCACTTTAAAGGGGAGGGTGGGATGCCTCTCTCTGGAGTCAGGCCGAGGCCTGCCCGCCCCACAATCCAGTCCCTGCGGCCAGGTGGGCCCCTACCTGCTTGAGCAGGAACTGGTCCTGGGCGTTGGTGCGCAGGGCAATGGCCAGATGCAGGGCAGACAGGAGCACCCCGCTTAGTACCGCGGCCCGCATGCGCACAGGCAGCAGCGTGTAGATGGTGTAGATGAAGAACACGGTCCACCAGATGCCCTCGGAGGCGCTGCGCGGCTGGGGCATCAGCAGGCCCACCACCTGGACGGCCAGCACCACGGCGATGAGCGCGTAGCAGGCCAGGCCCATGTGGTCCTGGTGGAAGGCGGCGCGGTTGCAGAGCACCGCCATGACCAGGATCACGCCCACGGCGGCCGCCAGCACGGCCAGGTAGGGCAGCTGGAGCGGGGGCCGCGCCGCGTGGAAGGCCAACATGACGAGGCACACGAGCACCAGCACGGCCATGAGCATGGTGAGGCTGCTCTGGTTCAGACGGAAAAAGTAGCGCTGGTACAGCCGCTCCAGCTTGTCCGACGGGAACTTCTTGGAGCGGAATATCTGCAGCAGCGCCAGGCAGCAGGCGCCCAGCGACAGCACCGGGCCGGGACCCGCGTCCGAGCCCGCCGAGCTGCCGCCATCCCCGGAGCCCTCATCGCCCTCGACGGCGCCGGCCTCCAGCTCGTCGGCCGCGCGGCCCTTGCCCCGCCGCTCCTCCAGGCCCAGCTCCACCGAGCGGGGGCGCACCTCCCTCCCGCCCGCTGCGGCCGCCGCGGCCGCCGAGCCGCCGCCGCCGCCCGCAGGGGGCGCCCGGGTGCTGCCCCCGCCGGCCGCGCCCCGCCGCTGCCGGCGGCTGCCGCGACCGCAGTCGTCGCCGCCGCGCTCCTGCCAGGCTGACTTGGAGCGGAAGCTGAAGCCGAAGCCCCCGACCAGGGGGTCGTCGCCACTCAGCGGAGGATCGTCATCGTCGTCGCTGCGCCAGCGGCTGGCCAGGCGCTGCTGCTGTTGCGGGGTCACCGCCCCCCCGGGTTTCTTGGTGGAGCTGCGGGCCGAACCCCCGGGGGCGTGGGGGTAGCCATTGGCGCGGGAATCGGCCTCCCCCCACGCGGAGCGGTGTTCCGGGCCTCCCCGGGACGCCGGCGCCGCCGCTGTCTGCGCCGCGTAGCCCGGGGGGCTCACGCTTTTGGAGCTGGACATCCCCTCCTCGGCCTCGTCGTCTTCTTCCTCCTCCCCCGGGGGCCGGGCCGGGGGTCTCCAAGGGGAGGGCGGACGGCCGAGCAGGGGGACTAGGCTGGGGTCACACGTCGGGGGCGGCCCGGGGCCCTGCGCAGCAGCGGGGCATCTTGGCACCCCCGTCCTGAGCGGAGAAGAAGGGCAGCGGGAGGGCGAGTGGGGAGGCAGGCAGAGCCCCGAGGTGAGTAGTGGCTGAGAATCCGCGTCTGGAGTCCTAGGTCCGAGATGGAGTTGGCTCCGAGCTGGGGCAGCGGGGACTGCTCGAGCTGCTGTGCCGCGCGCAGACGGACGTCCGGACTCCTGGCTCGCGTCGAGCTCGACAAGGACCGGAGTTGCGGACGAGGCGGGACGGAGAGGTGTCCTTGCAGGCGGCGCCTCCCCGGGGCTGGCAATGCCCGGGCGCGGCGCTCGTAGATTCTGCCTAAGCGGAGCCCAGCGGCACACGCGGCTCGGCGGCGGCTAGGGCGGCTCGGCGGGTGTCCCGGCGTGGAGACCAAGCGGGTGCCCTTTCCTCGCGACGGACTGGGAGCGACTGGGAGGTGCGGGCGCCAGCCAGCATTATTTTCTTACGAGGGGTGGGGAGGTGGGATGGGGGGGGGGGGGGACGGGGGAGGGGGCGGCGGGCGGAGCAACAGCTCCGGAGTCCTGGGGGGAGGGTCCTGGAGCCCAGGGGGGCCGTCGCCCGCATCCCCCACCTCCCGCGGCGAGAGTGGGAGCGTGGCCCCCGCGAAAGCCGAGCCGAGCCTTCAGCGCGTCCGCGCAGGGGGCGGGGGCGAGGACCGGCTCCTGCTGCGCGGCCCTTCCCCTCTCACCTCCCCCTTCCCCCAAAACGGAGCGGGGCTGGCCCGGACCCGCCGACCCAGGAGGGCTGTCGCGCCGGCTCTGCAAGCCCCAGGCTCCTCGCGGCCGGGCGCAGAAGGACTAGGCGGAGGGCGGAATCCGGCGCAGCGCCGCCGCCGTTCTGCCCCAACGCAGGCGGGCTTCTCCCGGGGAGCACGGCATCCAGAGATCGAGGGCCGGGGCTCAGATGCAGCCGGCCAAGAGGGGCCCTCCCAAGAGCCGCTGCGCCCCGGGGGCGCTCCGGGGAGGCCCGCGGGAGCCGGGCTCAGGGCGCGCCATGCACGCCTCGGGCCCTGCGCCGCTCCGGCCGCTCGCGCCGCTCCTCCCTTCTCGCCCGCTTGCAGCCGCCGCTGCCGGAGCGCCCTCCGCATCCCCTCCTCCCGCCGCCTCCCCGCCCCCCACGCCGCTCCGGCCTCGGCTCACCGCCCCGCGCGGCCGCCTCCGCCCCCGGCCGGGCCGCGGCCCCCGCCTCGGCGCCCAGCCGGCATCCTCAGGCCCGGCCCCGGGAGGCGCCCGGGGGCCGCGGGGGCCCCAGCTCCCCTTCCTCACCCAAAATTCTCGCTGCGCCCCCTCCCTCCCTGGCGCCTGGAGCCGCGTCCAGCCCGCCGTCCCCTCGCTGGACCTGGGTGGCGTGCGGCCCTCCCCCGCCCCCTGCTTGGGTTCAAACGCCCCTAGTCCTAGCTCCCCTCTTTTGTATCCCCCTTTAATCCCCCTCCCCCCATTCATCCCAACTTCAGCCCCCGCGCTGCGCCCCCCTTCTCTGGCCGAGCTCGATTGGCCGTTTTTTGAGCTGTCAGACTTGAGTCCAGCGCTCTTATTGGGCGATTCTCTGGCCCGGCGGCCGTGCCAAAGGAGGGCGCACAGGGCGGGGGGCGCCCAGGCAGCGACTGCCGCAGGGAGCCGGAGACCAGAGTCCCTGGAGGGGCCGGAGGGGCCCGAAAGGCAGGGCCGGAAATGGACGGGGGAGATGGAGAGACTGAGGATCGCTGAGGCGCATGAAGACAGGGACGGAAAAGATGGAGATGCAGTGGGTGAGGCCGATGCAGCCAGGGCGGGGCGGACAGGAACGCTTTGGTGGGTAGTTACCAAGAAAGAGCCCCACAGACAGCACTAGGAACACCTGGCGTTTACGAAGAGCTCTTTGCCCGGTCGTACTTTTTTAAAATCTCATTTGATTGCCCTCAGTAACCCTAGGATGTGACAGAGGACAGGGCCTGTGTGATTATTCCCAGTTATAGATGCGGAAACTGAGACTCCGAGAGCTTGCTCAACTTGCCATGGGTCACACAGGTCTCCTAACTTGCAACGGACAGATCTTTCGTCAGTGCCAGGCTGCCTCCCCTACCTAGCAAGGTGTTAGCGGGGTGGATGCGCACCAGAGCAAGGCGGAGCCCCCGCTGGAGTGGGGCAGAGAATGACCGGATACTCCTGTACGGCAACAGCAACAGAAGCAGGAGTGGAAAGAAGGACTTTACTGTAGGTCGATACCCAATTCCCCTTGCCCCTAAGCTGTCCTGCTGGAAGTTCTGACAGTCTACTCACTGAGAGGGCAGGGGAACCACGCCTTTACCCAGGGGAGGGAGAAACAACCTTCACTTCTCTGTCTTCGTCTTCCAGCTCTCTGCAGAGCTTCTGACAAGGAGCCCAGAGGTCTGAGTGAGCTTTCCTTTCTCTCTCTCTGCTGGCCATCTCTTTGCACATTGGAAGATAAACCTTGCCAGAGTTACAAATTGGGAGGAGAAAAATTCCAAGCGATCTGAATAAACTAACCCTTGAGTAATCCAACCTTTGAGTAATCCATGATTAGCTAAGTCATAAAAAGCACCATGAATGTAGTCAGCCGACATCCACAGAGCGCCCGTTATATGCAAAGACTGTGCTAAGTGCTACAAGGAGAGAGAATCAGACTCTGACTACAGCCCGGGAGGGGCAGGAGCCAGCCCCCAACTCCACAGTTCAGGGTTCAACAGACATCCTAACAGTGTCTAAGGCGTTCAGAGAGAAGAGGCACTAATTCCCACTGTGGGGGCCCAAAAAGACTCTGGAGGTCAAGTCTGGGGCTAGCAGGAAGGATGAGTAAGAAGAAAGGGAGGATGGACTAATATTTGTTAAACAACTACTGTATGTCTATAAATATTTTACTGTCGTATAACCATTTGAGGAAGATGTTATTTTCCCCACTATAAAGATGATAAAACTAAGACTTAGAGAAGCAGAAAGTTTGCCCAAGGCTCACAGTTTATAGCGGAATGGACCTTAAATTCACGTGTTCCTGTACTCCACCATGCGGCTATGCAACAAATATGACATGGGAGGGACACCCAGGACAGGCAACTGCATAAACAGAGGCCAGATGACCAGAGGTCAAGGTAACTGAGTTCCATCCTTGATTCTTCTCATTCCCTGAGCTCTTCCTAGGTTGTTCCTTTTAATTTTATTCAAATTTTTAAAATAACTGTTATAACAAAAGCCATGTATGGTTAAAGGTAGAAAAGCTAAAAAAAGATAAGAAAACATTCATAATCATACCACCTAGAAAGAACCATTAACATCTTTTTTTTTCCTTCAACAAAAAACAGGACTGTTACTCCACAAATAGTTTTAGAATCTGCTTTTTTATGCTTAGCAAAAGTTGTGGGTGTTTTTTCATGTCAATAAGCATTCATCTACAATATCCATTTTATTGTCTGCACAGAATTCCATTGCATGGATACAGCATAATTTATTTAACCAGTCCCCTATTGTTGGACATTTTTCACTGTTGTAGCTATTTGTAAAAAGTTTCCACTCTTTTACTGTTATAAACAATGAGCATTTTTGTAAATAAATCTTCACACACATCTTTAATTACATCCTTAGGAGAAATTCCTACAAGGAGAATCACTGGGTCAAAGGATAAACACATTTTTTTTCCTAAGGTATTTCTGAAGTCTGTATCTTCAGCCCCTGCCTCCCTTCCCAGTTCCAAGCCTCCCCCTGTCCACTGGAGAGCTCGCCATGGATGCTCCTTGGTACCCACCAGCATCCCAGATTCAATTGTTTTTTTAAACTAAGGTCCCAACAAGAGCTTGCTCCCCCTGTTTTCTCACCGCTGGTGGAATTGCCATCTCCCACGCTCCCTCCTCCCCTCCTACCGCACTTCCCAGGGTCCTCCTCACCCTAGTCTCTTCTCATCTTTCTTCCACAGACTCTGGCTACTACCTTTACCCAGATCCTCCCCACTCCTTGCCTGGACTATTACCAACTCTCCCTCCTTGCCCTCCACATTGTTCCCATTTGATCATGCGTGTCACACCCTCTACTAAAAACTGCCCACAAAACAGACTCTTCCTACTTGCCAGCTTTCACTGTCCACCACTTCTCCACGTCTTCGGGGAGCCCTGAACCGCTCTTGACGCCTCTGCAGAGATGACCCGGACTCACCCCCTGCACAAATCAAATTTACAGCACCTCCGTGAAGCCCTCTCTAATGCCCCTCCCGTCTGCCACCTCTCCCCCAGGCTGTTAGGCACGCCCTCCTCCTCAGCTCCCAGCACACCTGGCTTTTATCTCTGTTATAGCACTTGTCACATTCTGTTATCTTCACTTGTTTTCAGAACTATCTCCACAGAGAGCTGAACTCCTTGAGGACAGAGCTGGTATCTTACTCATTCTTGTGCCCAATGCTTAGCCTGGTACCTGGCACAAAGGGTGCCCAGTAGTTGTTTGTTGGATAAAGAAATGGTTACATCTGAGGACTAGAGAGCTGAATGGAGTCTGGGGCAGGAGGGGGTGGGGGTGCGACTGGTAGCAGTGGATGAAGATGGAAAGGTGGATTGGGCTCTTGAACACTGAGAGGGGGAGGGTGGGCTACAATTTAAAGACAGTGCAAAGCCCCCGAATTTGAGGACAGGAGTGTCCTGGTCCATTATGTTTGAGGAAGCAAACTCTGGCAATGATGTATCTAGGTTGGAAAAGCAAGATCCAAGAGCGTAGGGGACCAGTCAGGAAGCTATTGTGGAGCAGATGTAGATGAAGCCTGAAAGTGACATAGTGATGGGAATGGTTCCATTGGCTGGAGGACACCTGCGGAGGCTGACAAGGAAACTCAGGAGTCCACCTCTATGTACAGGAAGAGTCCTCAAGGTCAGAAGAAAACCAAGGAAAGGTAGGAGTCACAGGAGCAAAAGGCAGAGGTTTTGAAGACCAACTGGAGGATGCACAGCTGGCTGTTGCCGTCACATAGGGGCTGACCCAAGGACCGCCTCTGGCCTCTCTCAAATGAGTGTTTGGTTTGCAGAGCTGAAGTGACTACACACCTCAGGGCACAGCAGGCCCTTTGGGAGGCCTGTGGACACCCCACTGCCCCCTCCAGCCATCTCCCCCCACCCCGCCCGGTGTCTCAGTTACCCTTCAGCTTCATTCTTCACTCCCTCAGACTTCTTTTTAGAAGAATATTTGGATTTTGGAAATTAGAATATTAATGTTTTAGAATATTCAGAAATATGTATAGAAGTGAGTATCAATAATAGTACCCTACCTAAAAATACCTTCCCCCTCACTGCTTAAACTTCCACTATTAGATAGTCATGCTTTGGGATGACAATAATTCCCTAAAAATGAATATAGAGACCTAGTGACAGAAAGTAGATTAGTGGTTGCCCAGGCCTGGGGAGGGGGACAAATGGGGAATGATGGCTAGTGGGTACAAGATTTCTTTTTGGGGTCTTGAAAATATTCTAAAATTAGATTATGGTGATGATTGCACAACTCAATAAATACACCAAAAACCATTGAACTGCATGCACTGTTTGACACAACTGGATGAACTTTATGGTGTGTAAATTATATCTCAATAAAATGGTTGAAAAAAATGAATGCAGATACCCCTGGGGGACTGAAGGGTTTATGCCAGGAAGTCAGTGGTTAGCAAGTCGGTGTGAATGAGTTTAATCAGCAGGCTGCCCCCATTGATGCACTAATGCCCAGCTAAGGGTGGGGGGTGCTAAGGGAATGGATGCATGCAGTTTAGGTGTAGGGATGAGTTAGGAAGGAGAGAGAGCACTCGGGACCACTAAGCATGTCCTGAAGCAAATGGAACCAGAAGAGGGCATGGGTGCGGGGGAGCAGGAAGGAAGAGGGCAGAAATGAAATCCAGTTAGGAATCGGGGGTCAAAAATTAACTGTGCCCATTGGACAGCTTTGCCCAGGAGAGCCCTGCCCTGTAATGACTTCTTCCAAGGAGTTAAGGAACTCTAAGAACCGTAGGCTCTCTCGAGGGCGAAATGAGTCAAAGATCCTCCCGTTCCCAAAATTAGGTAGAAATTACTCCCCAAAGTGTGTCAACCTCCCTGGTTGTTTGCATTTTGAGAGCAAGCCCCATGGATGATTTACCTTTCCCAGGAAGAACTAACACTAACTCGTTATCATCCCCAAGTCAAAGAGTAGCTAGCAGGATGGAGCATTGGGTGTCTTGAGGGCAGGTCATCCATGGAGGCTTGGGGGCCAGTGTCTTAGCAATGGCACAAACGGCTGAGGTCCCTGGGAGCCAGCCTCCACTCTAGCCCGTCCCCACCAGGAGCTCTGAGGAGGAACCACAGATATCAGCCCTCTTACTCTTGACCTTTGGCTTCCTTGGCAGGGAAATCGAGGATGAGAAGAAGTTTGCAATGGGCCATAGAGAACCAGGCCCTAGATTTTTCCAGACCCTACACTCACCTCCAAACCTCTGGGCCTCAGGGAGCAGAAAATAGTCAAAGAGCTCAGGTTGGAGCTGAGGTGGCAATGGCTGATAATAGCTCGATCTGCCACTCTCCCAGGTGTTGACATTTGCATTTTAATGGAGGCGGTTAATGCCTTCAGCTAAGGGAGTGACTAATCTGTTCTTTCACTTGCTCCTGGAGGTAGGTGGGAGACCCTTTATGGCCCAGGGCCTTTTAGTGCCCTCTAGTCGCAACACAAGATCACGCCTGAGCTGTAGCTGCCAAACCTTTGGACTCTAATGCCCACACTCCATGCTTTATCTTTGTACTGTTCTTGATTTTGCTTTTTTTTCTTACACTTTCTCCTGAATCCTTTTTTTTCCTAAAGGTCTGAGAACATCCCCATGAGTCATTTATTCTTTCAACACACATAAACTGATTATCCATCTCAAGCAGAAAACCGTGCTGGACACAGTTGAGTGAGGGGAGCCCAAGAGGTATGCCAGCAAGATGCCACCCCCAAGAAGTCAGAGGTGAAGAAATCGCATCTGGAGAGCGGCACAGCGTCAGCAGATTTGGGCCACACAGCTATGCCGAGTGTTTCTTAAACACTCCAAACAAGAGGCTGTTCATTAATAGGAGAAAAATATTCCTACAGACTGGAGGAAGCAAGAAAGGCTCCTGGGAGGGATGAAAAGGGTCCTTAAGTATGCATAGGAGTTGGATATTCAAAGACTGGATGGAGTTCTGAGGATTTAAAACATTCCTGTAGTCACCAAAGACCACATGTTGTATGATCCTATCTAAATGAAATATCCCAAAGAGGCAAATCTATAGAAACACAATAGATCAGTGGTTGCCTAGAGCTGGGGGCAGGGTGGAGGGGTTGGGGGTGGGGGAACGACTAACTGCTAATGAGACAATGGGGTGGTGAAAACTGTTCCGAGACTGTGGTGATGGGTCCACAGCTTTGTAAATACTAAAAGCCATTGAATTACACACTTTAATGGACAAACTTTATGGAATGTAAATTATATCTCAAGAAATCTGTTAAAAATGGGAAGAAAAGTGGGGTCCAAAAAGACCATTCCCATAATAACCATA